ATAGAATAGAATAGAATAGAATAGAATAGAATAGAATAGAATAGAATAGAATAGAATAGAATAACTTTATTGGCACTTTAAAGGTACACAAATCGGCATACATTAAAATGGAATTTCATTGCGTACAAGCTCTCAAAAGGTCCCTCCAATATGCACTATATAAACATGAGAAAATAAACAAATGAACAAATACAAAATTATGTACTCTGTGTGTGTGTGTGTGTGTGTGTGTGTGTGTGTATATATATATATATATATATATGTGGATCTTTGGTTGTTCGGGTTTTCTCCCGCGTAAGATTCGAAGTATCTAGGCAACGTTTCGATGAAGTCTCATTCATCATCTTCAGGCTTCTGTCTCCGGCTCTGTGCTTCTCAGAGTAATGTGAGATTGCAGCTGCTTCCTCCTTTTAACTGCCAGTGGGGGTGGGACTTGATTGGGTGGGGGCTTGGCTGTGTTCTGATTGGGTGGGGGTGTGTTCTCATTGGTAGGGGGTTTGGCTGTGTTCTGATTGGTTGGGGGTTTGGCCGTGTTCTGATTGGTTGGAGGCGTGTTCTGTTCAGGTGGGGGCTTGGTTGTGCTCAGGTTAGTCTTAGTTGCTGGGGGATTACTCTGAGAAGCACATAGCCGGAGACAGAAGCCTGAAGATGATGAATGAGACTTCATCGAAACGTTGCCTAGATACTTCGAATCTTACGCGGGAGAAAACCCGAACAACCAAAGATCCACATACAAATACCCACGAGAACCTCAGAAAACAAATATATATATATATATATGGATCTTTGGTTGTTCGGGTTTTCCATTTTTGCATTGTAGGTGCTGGCACCTGAGTGCGTGCGCACAAATTTTTGGCACAGGAGCCCAAAAAGGTTAGCCACCACTGGTATAGGGTCAGAAGCAGGGGATTGGACCAGATGACCTCCAAAGTCCCTTCCAGCTCTGTTGTTATCATTTCCTCCTTGGTTCCTTGATTAGTGGTTGTTTCCTATTTGATGGTTTGTCTCGGTTGGTTAAGTTTTGGGGTGTAATTTAATGCTTTACTGCTGATCCGCCCCTGCTTATCTGGATGCTGATTGCTGGCAAGATGGTATTGTGGTCTTTGAGCTTTTTGGGGGTTTGCTTTTTTTTTTTTGAACGATATGTACCTGTTGTTTATCTCTGTGTGCTGGTTGATGGCTGAACAACAGCCCAATCAAGCAACCACAAAGGAACAATCCCACTGATGTTGACAGAGCGAACCACTAGCACAGAAAATGAGAGGAGGCCCCGCTCTCTTCTGGCTCTGATGTTCCCTAGTTGGGTCATGAAACGTCCACAAGGAAACAGCCAAGCTCAGGATGCACCAAAGACCCCACAGTCATTTCCTCCTCCTCCTCCTCCTCCTCCTCCTCCTCCTCCTCCTCCTCCTCCTTCTCCTCTCCCACCATTCCACAAACCCTACTCCTTTCTAGCACCGAGGATGTTACCGAGTTGGATAATGAAACGTCCGCAAGGAAACAGCCAAGCTCAGGATGCACCAAAGACCCCACATTCATTTCCTTCTCCTCCTCCACCTCCTCCTCCTCCTCCTCTTCCTCCTCTCCCACCATTCCGCAAACCCTACTCCTTTCTAGCACCTAGTTGGATAATGAAACGTCCGCAAGGAAACAGCTAAGCTCAGAGAGCAATCAAGACCCTACAATCCTCCTCCGCGTACTACTTCCCCTCTACTCCGCAAACCCTACTCCCTTCTAGCACTGATAATGTTATCTAGTTGGGTAAATGTAATGTCTTCAAGAAAACAGCCCAGCTCAGACAGCAATAAGGACTCCACAATCCAACTGCTACTCCTTCTTTCCCTCCACTCTGCAAACCCTTCTCCCTTCTAGCACTGATGATGTTACTGAGTCGGGTAATATAACGTCTGCCAGAAAACAGCCCAGCTCAGAGAATGAAGATTCTCAGGCTAACTTGGCTTCCTCCTGCTCACCTCCACTTCTCCATCTTCCCGGGCTGAGACCTTCCCTCTGCATAAGTTGGCGAGTTCAGTTTTGCGAAACATAGAGAGGTCCTGCCCAGGGGTGCAATTCAAAATATTTGACTACCGGTTCTGGGGGCGCAAGCGGAGCATTCTACAATGGGCCAAAGCATGAAAACTTACCTTACCATCAGCATTGGTGAGTGAAACAGCTGAGGCGGCGCTCTGCCGCGCCTACCAATTGAGCTACAACCAAAGGGAAATATAGCACAGCTGCTGACCGGCGCTACCTGCTAACCGGCGCTACCAAATCGCTAGAACCGGTGCGAACCAGCAGCATACCACTATTACAGAGGTGCTATTCAGCCGGTTCTGACCGGTTCTCGAGAACCGGCAGTGGATATTTTGAGTAGTTGGGAGAACCGGCCAATCCCACCTCTGACTGGCCCCGCCATCCCCATCTATTCTCCGCCTCCCATCGAGTCTCAGCTAATCGGCTGGGTCTTTGGTTGCCCTGCACAGGAGAATGGAGCTGGAAAGCAGGTTTTAGTGGGATAGGGAGAGAATGGGGATTTTGCAAGATCCTTCCCCTGGAGTGGGGTGGGAATGGAGATTTTATAGTATCTGTCCGTGCTCCGGTAGTCACCTCTATTTAAGTCCTGAGTCTCTAGCCTGATTTTCAACGCTCAAAGATTTATTAGGAGAAGACACGCCGGCGCTGCCTGGACGTAGCCGACTCTGAGACACATCATTGCATCGTCTCCCTTGACTCCGGTTTTCCCCCACTCCCTGGGTGTATCATAATTCCTATTCTCCAATGGGACACCTCCATAGCCCAGAGTCACCAGTCATATACTCTCCAGTTGGAATTTTGCGTGGCAGAAAGTTCGGTCGCCTGGAAACTATCTATGAAAACATCCATGGAATTCAGTTTTCGGTTTTGCGGCTGCTACGCTACTCCCCGCTCTCTTTCTGTTGGCAACTCTAAAAGACCAGAGAAATATTTTATGAGTTTGACAGTATCCTTCAGCCCTGCCATGCCCACCAAGCCACACCTACCAAGTCAAGCCATGTCCACAGAACCGGTAGTAAAAAAAAATTTTTTGAATCCCACCACTGCACCACCGGTCTTGTCTAGATTCGTGTACGGCGGATCAGAAGGATTGTAAAGAAAAAAATAACTTACCTCGTTCGTCCCGCCCTGAGCCGCATAGGTAAAAGCACAGGTAACCTCTCCCTGTAGAAAAAACAGAAGAAATGGTAGTGAAGGGTAATAATAAATAAAGAAATGTAGTAGAATATATTATAACACTATGTAGAGAGTTCCTGAATAGGAATTTGTTGTCTTGCTGTTAGGCACTTGTTTTCTCGTACATGTGTATATCTGTTAAGCATTTATCACTCTACAGCCATTTTTGTTATCTCGCTGTTGTAGAAAAGATTTCCTTAACCTTTCACTTGTTGTAAAACGATTACAACATATGCCTGCAATCGGTTACATCCCTCTTATTAAGACACATGATCGTCCCACCTAAATCAATCTGAGCCCGTCTGTTTTCCTGGATCGATACGTTTCGCCCCAACATCACCCCCTGGGAATGTAGCTACCTCCATCCAGAGGAATCCACATCTTTGAAGTATGCTGTTAATAACCTCCTTAAGTGGTCAATTGTGATCAATTAGTAGGACAATAGGAGAAGAGATAATGAAAGGCAAACGCTGCCAGAGAGAGATTTCTCTTTTGTAGGAAAGATGTAAATCTAAGTTAGAGAGTTTTACAATGCAGTTACACGACTTCTAAGAATCTTAAAGGTATGATTTTACTTTCTCCATGTGCTTTGTAGCCTTCCTCTCATATCTATCTTGCGTGTAAGTGAGGATAGGCCCTACCCTAACCTTATTGATCAATTAAAGTTAGATTTTGTTCTTCAAAGCCTCTGCTTAAGTACATTTATGGCACATTGTGATCTTAAGTTATAGCCAGACCTTCCGGTAGGAAAGCAGAAATCACGGTCTTCAGACCCCAAAAGCTGGACCTGCCAATACCTGCCTGCTTTAGAGGCTATCCTTGGCTTACGGCCATGATCTCCACTGCCAAGCGAGGAAGTTGCTCAATGAATTTTGCCTCGTTTTACAACCTCTCCTGCCACAAGAGTGGTTTCCAGCGAATCACTGCCGTGGTTAAGTTAGTCACACGGTCGTTAAGTGAATCTGGCTTCCCCGTGGAGTTTGGCTCGTCAGAAGGTCGCACGAGGGGATCGCCTGACCCCCGCGGACACCGCACACCGTCGTAAATATGAGCCAGTTGCCGAACGTCTGAATTTGGGTGACTGTGGGAAACTGTCATTCATTCGGAACTGTCTGTTGTGGTTAGCTGGCAGCAGGCGCGGACGGCTGAGAAGAGTGATGAGGGGCCGGGACCATCCGGGAGTGGACTGCTGCCTTCAGAGATTGTGGGGCTGGCAGCAGCAATGAGGAGTTTCCCGAGGAGCCTGTGCCAAGTGCGCGTGCACGAAGGATTACTCAGAGGAAAGAACAATTACAGCAGCACAGGCAACTCGGGAAGGTAAGGCTGCGAGGTAATGGCTCCTCCCTCAAGAGGATAAAAGCCAGGTTTGATCAAAGCGTTCTTTGCAGAAAGCAACGAAGCTCTGAAGCTCGGCGGGTGGACATCTTGTAAATTAGTTCTTATCTCTGGGCTTTCGGCAGCCTTGACGAACAACTTAGCAAGGCTCTTTCTTGTCAGAGCTAATGAATAGAAAGCAGCCTTTTATCGGTAAAGGAACAGCATTCGTTACTAAACCTTAAACGGCGGGGGCTGCTGCCTTTGCCTTTGTCCGGTTGGGTCAGAACACCGTCATTCAATGGGGAAATGGTCGTAAGTCACTTTTTTTCAGCACCGTTGGAACTTTGAACGGTCGCTAAGTGAATGGCTGTAAGCCTACCTGTACTGAATGAAATCATGTTAATCATTAACACATTAAATCAGAAATGAATAACACCAACTTGATTATGTATTGTTTTGATTCAACCTCTCCGATAGCCTGCAGCAGATAAGCAGGGATTAACACCAGACAAACAATCACGCAGAAAACAATATCCTAATCGAGGAACTACCAAGGGGAAGAAAAAAAAAACCTCTACCACCAACACTGACAGGACAAACCACCTAAGTATAAACAGAGAGACAACCCTACTCCTTTCTAGCACTGATGATGTTACCTAGTTGGGTCGTGAAACATCTGCAAGAAAACAAGCAGGTTTAAGGATGACCTCAGTCCTCCTCCTCCTCCTTTCCACAAACCCCTTCTAACACTGATGATGTTACTTAACTGGGGAATGAAACGACTGCAAGAAAACAGACAAGCTCAGAGAACACCACGGACCCCAGAGTCCTCCTCCTCCTCCTCCTCTTTCCCCTCCTCCTCCCTTCTGGACCGTTTCCTCAAAAATACGACCTACCCTGAAAGTAAGCCCTAGCTTGATTTTGACACGTGCGCCCGATATAAGCCCTACCCCCAAAATAAACCCTAATTAAGATCCCACCCACTCCAGAGTGGATGGGTCAAAATTAAGCTAGGGTGGGGATGTGGGGTGCGTGGAGCTGCCCTACTACTTACCTTTGGACAGTTGTAACTAGGCCTGGCACACACCGACACCTGCCTTGCCGGCCTATTTCTTCTGCAACCTCTGGAGCTGATAAGAAAGCTCTGGATCGATCCAAAGCTCTGTTATTGGCTGCAGAGGCCTTCAGGAAAGCCTTGCCCGGCCGCAGAAGAAATTCTGACAGCGAAAAGGAGGCCAGGTACGACACACACACAGGTGAGGTTACTCAGTGGATGACATCACACGAAAATAAGACCTGGTGCCTTTTTTGGTAGCCCAAAATAATATAAAATAGGGTCTTCTTTTTGGGGAAAACACGGTAGCCCTGATAATGTTACCTAGCTGGGTCGTGAAACGTCTGGAAGAAAACAAGCAAGTACAGAGAACAACAAGGACTCTACATGATCGTTGTTCTCCTATCTGCCTCTCTTGGTGGTCTCTCATCTGATATAAATCGGGGCCAACAGTTTAATTTTTGAGATCAGCACCGATTACTTCGGTCCTTCAGTCAACCTGGCTTAACAGACGATAATAAAAATCAGCCTCCAAGCACTATCCTCACAACTCCTTCTCATTCGGATTGTTATTATTTTTTAAATTTATACACTGCTCAGCTGCTCAAGAATGTGAGGTGGTGGTTGTTTTTTTACAAAAAATCCCAAAAATACAGAAACCGGGGGGGGGGGGGGGATATGACGATAGACAATAAGAAAGGCTAAAAATGGCAAAGGTTTTTTTTAAAAAAAAAAAACAGATGTGATTGAAAACAAACCAACCCACACAATCGAAAGGCTTCCTTTACCACAACCACAAGTAAAATAAAATAAACTAGAAATTATTTTTGTTCCCATTTAGCAGTTCCTGATTTGACTCAAAGCCAGGGATTGTTGTTTAATCGTGATTAGCTAAAAACTGTGTTTTGGTTTGGTTTGGTTTTTTGCTTCCATTTAACGATTACATTCTATTTTTGTTATGGATTTAGATTGTGCTGCTTATTATTATTATTATTTTACTATGTTGGTGTTGTTTTTCTTCCAGGTTATCTGCAGGATAATGTTTATTTTAATGAATAGAATAGAATAGAATTACAGAATAGAATAGAATAGAATAGAATAGAATGGAATGGAATGGAATGGAATGGAATAGAATAGAATTACAGAATAGAATAGAATTACAGACTAGACTAGAATTACAAAATAGAATAGAATAGAATAGAATTACAGAATAGAATAGAATTACAGAATAGAATAGAATTACAGACTAGACTAGAATTACAAAATAGAATAGAATAGAATAGAATTACAGAATAGAATAGAATAGAATAGAATTACAGACTAGAATAGAATTACAGACTAGACTAGACTAGACTAGACTAGACCAGAATAGAATACCTTTATTGTCATTGCATTCTACAAATACAATGAAATTTGAAAGCTACTCCAGCACAGTGTCCCAAACACCACATCACAATCACACTACAGAGTATTTAAAAATTAAAATAATTAAAATAATAATTAAACACCTCATCTAAAACCTATCTAAAATATATAGTAAGATAAGTTTAAAAATGCCACTATATGCATAGGGCTAAATCACATATGCATTGTTTGATTCAAGACAATTATTGCCTTGGAAAAGAAACTGTTTCTCAGTCTATTAGTCCTCATTTTAAGACGCCTATAACGCCTCCCTGATGCTAACAGAGCAAAATATGAATGTCCAGGATGAGAACGGTCCGTGGCGATTTTTAGTGCTCTAGAGAGGAGTCCGGCCTTCGCAATCTCTTCCAAAGAAGAAAGATGATTTTTTTTGTGCTGTGTTTTTAACTATCTATATTATGCTCTCTATATACATTTTATTGGACGGCTGTGACACGCTGAACTTCTTTTTAAATTTGGCAGGTTTTATGAATGAATGACTCAAGTTAGCTACCTCCCAATTTTTATTTTTTTATTTTTTTAAAAAAACAGTTTTATTGTTTGTTTTTTTAACAAACAAACAAAAACAGACAAAACATAAAAGCATCAGCTCTCTTCCATACTTATATACAAACAGTGTGTCGGTTGGTTCATCAGTTTTGTGCATCCATTTCGTAGTCTCAATTACGGTTATGTTACATGATAACTCTTATTATCAATCCCAACTTATATATCCTCATATCATTGTTAAAAAAAATCATTTGACTATACTTTTATTCATTCATACTTTATGAGATAACTATAATTTAAGTAATTTATTCTGTAACAAATCATATAATCATGCCAATTCTATCCTAAAAAAAAAACAACACTTTATATAGTATCTAATAACAAAAGAAAAAGAAAAAACAAGAATATTCCTTATTATCTAAAATTCTAAGTATTCTATTGTCATATTTCATCATCTAACCATTGATAGAAAAGGTCCCAAATTTTATAAAATTGTTTATCTTCTTGCTCTCCAATTTCAAATGTCAATCTACTCATCTCAGCACATTCCAATATTTTCTTAATAATTTCTTCCTGCGATGGAACCAATTTTATTTAAAAAAAAAAAAAAATTCCGCTGTGGCAAACATATCTAATACAGGCAGCCCTCTACTTTTGAACACAATTGAGCCCAAAATTTCCATTGCTAAGAGAGACGGTCGTTAAGTGAGTTTTGCTCCATTTTATGACCTTTCTTGCCACCATTAAGGGAATCACCGCAGTTGCTAAGTGAGTAACAAGGTTGTTAAGCAAATCTGACTTCCCCATTGACTTTTGCTTGTGAGATGGTTGCAAAAGGGTATCGTACGACCTCGGAACACTGCGACCGTCATAAATATGAGTCAGTAGCCAACTGTCCAAATTTTGATGATGTGACCAAAAGGATGACGTGACCATGGGGTCATAAGTGTGAAAAATAGTCATACGTCACTTTTTTTTAGTGTCGTTATAACTTCAAATCACTAAATGAACTGTTGTAAGTGGAGGATTTCTTTCTTCCTCCTATTTTCCCTGCAATAACAATGCTGTGAAATGGGTTGGCTGAAAGCCCAAAGTCACCTAACCAGCTTATATGGTTAAGGAAGGACTGGAATTCACAGCCTCCTGGTGATTGGCCCAAAGTCA